CCCCAAGATCACTCACTAATAGCACAAGAAGAGGATTACAAACAAAGATCTCTCAAAGATCAAAAACTCAAGTTAAAGCTCATGTAGGTAGGTAAAGATATTCAATACAATGCTCTCTAAACTTCTTCACATTTGTTACCAATCATATTTATAGCCCCTTGCTCGAAAATAGCCGTTTCTAGCCGTTGGGGGTCATTAAATGCCCTGAAGGACGCGAAGCTCAAGTTGCAGGATTGTCAGGAGAGCCGGCTTAACTTCCTAAAGACGGCTTAACTTCCTAAAGCCGGCTTAAACTTCCAGAGCCGGCTTTGCGGGATTCTTGCACATTCTGTTTTCCTCGAGAGCCGGCTGCAAAACTTTGAGCCAGCTTTGCAACTCCGACTTTAAATACATTAAATAATCTTCAAATGACTCGACCGTTGTGCATTAAATGCACCCTCACAGCCGGCCACAAAGCCAGAGCCGGCTTTGCGTCTTTTCTCCGCACGCGCCAAACAACAGTCTTCAAAATTTTTACCTATAGAGCCGGCTGCAGCTTCTAGAGCCGGCTCTCTGCACTTCCATTTCACCAGAGCCGGCTGCACTTTACTAGAGTCGGCTGCACTTTACCAGAGCCGGCTCTCTGCACATTTTGAATCCTTTTGGTCTATTTTTAATGCAATCCAAGTTTACTTGCAATATTTTAGCAACTTAACTACACACTTAAATAAACCAATTAGTCACTGAAATGTGTTTTGTAATCATCAAAATCATAGGTACAACAAATATTATATTTAATAATTATGCAATGGGTCTAAAACAAGAAAAATCACCAATTGTAACCAATTTTTTCATCACTAAATTTCATGTATTGTAATATGGAGGGTAAAAACCCTAAAAGTAAAAAAGTTAAAGGGCAAACGGGTACCTTTTGCCAATCCATACATCCTCCAAACCACCGTCCATGCTACAACTACCACGTAAAAAAAAAAAAAAATCTAGGATAATGTCAAATATAGACCGCCTAATTTAAGAAAAAATTACAATTCTTGTATCCTATTTTAATATCTCTTTAGGGGAATTGAGAGGGATATTTGGAATTTTTTTTTTAAATGTATTGAATTGAATGGTGTTTTTATCAATTTCTATATAAATATATTTATATACATAATCAGGAACTTATTAGCATCTATAATTAAAAAAAATAAAGTAAAAGAAATATTTCTTGTCTTCTTTGATTTTTTTAATAATCAAATAAATTTTTTTTCCTTCCTTTCATTTTTTTCAATCTAAATATATT